GTTCCGTAAAAAATGCCATTGGTAATTTGATACGGATTGCATTGAATCTGTAGATTGCTTTGGGTAGTAGAGTCATTTTCACAATGTTGATTCTTCCAATCCAAGAACATGGTATATCTCTCCATCTGTTGGTATCATCTTGAATTTCTTTCATCACTGTCTTATAGTTTTGTGCATACAGGTCTTTTGTCTCCTTAGGTAGGTTTATTCCTAGATATTTTATTCTTTTTGTTGCAGTGGTAAATGGGAGTGTTTCCATAATTTCTCCTTCAGATTTTTCATCATTAGTGTATAGGAATGCAAGAGATTTCTGTGCATAAGTGTTGTATCATGCAACTTTACCAAATTCATTGATTAGCTCTAGTAGTTTTCTGGTGGCATCTTTAGGATTCTCTATGTATAGTATCATGTCATCTGCAAACAGTGACAGTTTTGCTCCTTCTTTTCCAATTTGTATTCCTTTTATTTCTTTTTCTTCTCTGATTGCCATGGCTAGGACTTCCAAGACTATGTGGAATAATAGTGGTGAGAGTGGACATCCTTGTCTCATTCCTGATCTTAGAGGAAATGCTTTCAGTTTTTAGCCATTGAAAATAATGTTTGCTGTGGGTTTGTTGTACATGACCTTTATCATGTTGAGGTAGGTTCCCTCTGTGCCCACTTTCTGCAGAGTTTTTATCATAAATGCGTATTGAATTTTGTCAAAAGCTTTTTCTGCATCTATTGAGATGCTCATATGGTTTTTATTCTTCAATTTGTTAATATGGTGTATCACATTGATTGATTTGCATGTATTGAAGAATCCATGCATCCCTGGGATAAATCCCACTTGATCGTGGTGTATGATCCTTTTAATGTGTTGTTGGATTCTGTTTGCTAGTATTTTGTTGAGGAATTTTGCATCTGTATTCATCAGTGATATTGGTCTGTAATTTTCTTTTTTTGTACTATCTTTGTCTGGTTTTGGTATCAGGGTGATGTTGGCCCCATAGAATGAGTTTGGGAGTGTTCCTTCCTCTGCAGTTTTCTGGAAGAGTTTGAGAAGGATGGGTGTTAGCTCTTCTCTAAATGTTTGGTAGAATTCACCTGTGAAGCCATCTTGTCCTGGACTTTTGTTTGTTGGAAGATTTTTTTTTTTTTTTTTTTTTTTTCAGTACACGGGCCTCTCACTGCTGTGGCCTCTCCCGTTGTGGAGCGCAGGCTCCGGACACGCAGGCTCAGCGGCCATGGCTCATGGGACTAGCCGCTCCGCGGCATGTGGAATATTTCCGGACCACGGTGCGAACCCATGTCCCCGCGTTGGCAGGTGGACTCTCAACCACTGCACCACCAGGGAAGCCCTGTTGGAAGATTTTTAATCACAGTTTCTATTTCATTGCTTGTAATTGGTCTGTTCATATTTTCTGTTTCTTCCTGGTTCAGTCTTGGAAGGTTATACCTTTCTAAGAATTTGTCCATTTCTTCCAGGTTGTGCATTTTATTGGCATAGAGTTGCTTGTAGTAGTCTCTTAGGAAGCTTTGTATTTCTGCGGTGTCTGTTGTAACTCCTCCTTTTTCATTTCTAATTTTATTGATTTGAGTCCTCTCCCTGTTTTTCTTGATGAGTCTGGCTAAAAGCTACCAGCTTTTAGTTTTATTGATCTTTGCTATTGTTTTCTTTGTTTCTATTTCATTTATTTCTGCTCTGATCTTTATGATTTCTTTCCTTCTGCTAACTTTAGGTTTTGTTTATTCTTCTTTCCTAGTTCCTTTAGGTGTAAGGTTAGATTGTTTACTTGAGATTTTTCTTGTTTCTTGAGGTAGGCTTGTATAGCTATAAACTTCCCTCTTAGAACTGCTTTTGCTGCATTCCATAGGTTTTGGATTGTTGTGTTTTCATTGTCATTTGTTTCTAGGTATTTTTTGATTTTCTCTTTGATTTCTTCAGTGATCTCTTGGTTGCTTAGTAACATATTGTTTAGCCTCCACGTGTTGGTGTTTTTTACGTGTTTTTCCCTGTAATTCATTTCTAATCTCATAGCGTTGTGGTCAGAAAAGATGCTTGATATAATTTCAATTTTCTTAAATTTACTGAGGCCTGATTTGTGACCCAAGATGTGATCTATCCTGGAGAATGTTCCATGTGCACTTGAGAAGAAAGTGTAATCTGCTGTTTTTGGATGCAACGTCCTATAAATATCAGTCAAATCTATCTGGTCTATTGTGTCATTTAACGCTTGTGTGTCTTTATTAATTTTCTGTTTGTATGATCTGTCCATTGGTGTAAGTGAGGTGTTAAAGTCCCCCACTATTATTGTGTTACTGTTGATTTCCTCTTTTATAGCTGTTAGCAGTTGCCTTATGTATTGAGGTGCTCCTATGTTGGGTGCATATATATTTATAATTGTTATATCTTCTTCTTGGATTGATCCCTTGATCATTATGTAGTGTCCTTCCTTGTCTCTTGTAACATTCTTTATTTTAAAGTCTATTTTATCTGATATGAGTATTGCTACTCCAACTTTCTTTTGATTTCCATTTGCATGGAATATCTTTTTCCATCCCCTCACTTTCAGTCTGAATGTGTCCCTAGGTCTGAAGTGGGTCTCTTGTAGACAGCATATATATGGGTCTTGTTTTGTATCCATTCAGCAAGCCTGTGTCTTTTGGTTGGAACATTTAATCCATTCACGTTTAAGGTAATTATCTATATGTATGTTCCTATGACCATTTTCTTAATTGATTTGGGTTTGTTTTTGTGGATCCTTTTCTTGTCTTGTGTTTCTCACTTAGAGAAGTTCTTTTAGCAATTTGTTGTAGAGCTGGTTTGGTGGTGCTGAATTCTCTTAGCTTTTGCTTGTCTGTAAAGCTTTTGACTTCTCCGTCGAATCTGAATGAGATCCTTGCCGGGTAGAGTGATCTTGGTGTAGGTTCTTCCCTTTCATCACTTTAAGTATATCATGCCACTCCCTTCTGGCTTGTAGAGTTTCTGCTGAGAAATCAGCTGTTAACCTTATGGGAGTTCCCTTGTATGTTATTTGTCGTTTTTCCCTTGCTGCTTTCAATAATTTTTCTTTGTCTTTAATTTTTGCCAGTTTGATTACTACGTGTCTCGGTGTGTTTCTCCTTGGGTTTATCCTGTATGGGACTCGCTGCACTTCCTGGGCTTGGGTGGCTATTTCCTTTCCCATGTTAGGGACGTTTTTGACCATAATCTCTTCAAATATTTTCTCGGGTCCTTTCTCTCTCTCTTCTCCTTCTGGCACTCCTATATTGTGAATATTGTTGTGTTTAATGTTGTCCCAGAGGTCTCTTAGGCTGTCTTCATTTCTTTTCATTCTTGTTTCTTTATTCTGTTCTGCAGCAGTGAATCCCACCATTCTGTCTTCCAGGTCACTTCTCCATTCTTCTGCCTCAGTTATTCTGCTATTGATTCCTTCTAGTGTAGTTTTCATTTCAGTTATTGTATTGTTCATCTCTGTTTGTTTGTTCTTTAATTCTTCTAGGTCTTTGTTCAACATTTCTTGCATCATCTCGATCTTTGCCTCCATTCTTTTTCCGAGGTCCTGGATCATCTTCACTATCATTATTCTGAATTCTTTTTCTGGAAGGTTGCCTGTCTCCACTTCATTTAGTTGTTTTTCTGGGCTTTTATCTTGTTCCTTCATTTGGTACATAGCCTTCTGCCTTTTCATCTTCTCTGTCTTTCTGTGACTGTGGTTTTTGTTCCACAGGCTGCAGGATTGTAGTTCTCTTGCTTCTGCCATCTGCCCTCTGGTGGGTGAGGCGATCTAAGAGGCTTGTGTAAGTTTCCTGATGGTAGGGATTGGTGGTGGGTAGAGCTGACTGTTGCTCTGGTGGGCAGAGCTCAGTAAAAGTTTAATCTGCTTGACTGTTGATGGATGGGGCTGGGTTCCCTCCCTGTTGGTTGTTTTTCCTGAGGCAACCCAACACTGGAGCCTACCTGGGCTCTTTGGTGGGGCTAATGACAGACTCTGGGAGGGCTCACGCCAAGGAGTACTTCCCAGAACTTCTGCTGCCAGTGTCCTTGTCCCCACGCTGAGCCACAGCCACACAGCCACCCCCCACTCCAGCACTAGCAGGTAGGTCTGGTTCAGTCTCGCCTGGGGTCACTGCTCCTTCCCCTGGGTCCCAATGTGCACACTACTTTGTGTGTGCCCTCCAAGAGTGGAGTCTCTCTTTCCCCCTGTCCTGTCAAATACCTGCAATCAATTCCCACTAGACTTGAAAGTCTGATTCTCTAGGAATTCCTCCTCCCATTGCCGGACCCCCAGGTTGGGAATCCTGACGTGGGGCTCACAACCTTCACTCCAGTGGGTGGACTTCTCTGGTATAAGTGTTCTCCAGTCTGTGAGTCACCCACCCAGCAGTTATGGGATTTGATTTTACTGTGATTGCGCCCCTCCTACCATCTCATTGTGGCTTCTCCTTTGTCTTTGGATGTGGGGTATCTTTTTTGGTGAGTTCCAATGTCTTCCTGTCGAAGATTATCCAGCAGCTAGGTGTGATTCTGGTGTTCTCGCAAGAGGGAGTGAGAGCACGTCCTTCTACTCCGCCATCTTGGTTCTGTCTCCATACTTATATGATTTTAACAGATATATTTAAAGCTCTGAGTCAGGGAATTTATATAACATAACCATTAAAATCATGGAAGATACAATTTGCTGAAAATAAGTTATTTGGCCAGTAAAGCATTAGTTATTAAGGTATCTAAGTTGGGATGAAGAAAGTAGAAAATATAATGGAGAATTATATTAAACCAGAACCAAAGAGTGATTAAATAATCACTAAAGTATCCAAAACTTGAAATCCATTGATTTTACAATTAGCAACAGATAAAGGAAGCAAGCCTTTCTGCAGTCCTGGCTTGGACAGGCACATCATGATTATCCTGGTAATCGGTTCCCTGGCTTACAAATTCTGCACAGGTGACTTGCTTTATACATTGCATTTCTGTTTAATCAGACATGCCTACCTTTGTTTCATTTTCTGTGAAATAGGAAATTAAGGAGAAGCTGGATTCCAGTCACAAGCGAGATATAGAGGGCATGGGAGTCCCAGAAATCAAGTACGGGGACTCTGTCTGCTTTGTCCAACATATAGCCAGTGGTCTCTGGGTGACCTACAAAGCACAAGATGCCAAGACATCCCGCCTGGGACCTCTGAAGAGAAAGGTGAGGGGTTAGAAAGGCTGGAAGCAACTAGCAAGAGAAGTGATTGTGAGAATCAGGTGAACATGATGTATGTTTACTTCTTACTATTCTTACTATTCTGAAGAGTTATTTCTGTGACAGATTGTGTAGCCTAATGTGGTTACTCTGACCTCATATTCAGTGGGGAAAGAAAAGAGCTACATAGATGACAAATCTGTGAGGAGAGGGTAGAATATGTTCTATGTGCTCTAAAACCTGAACTAAATGACTTTTGGTGGTATGCTGTTTTGGGAGTATCCACATCGTCGCACCTTTCATTTAAGTGGATAATTGAGTTATTATGCAGTTTTCATAATATACAGACTAAATAGAATCTCTACAAAGAAAAACGCAGATTGCATGATAACAAGCGCACAGGAACCAACGTGCAGAAAGACGAGATACCGTGGAATGATACTGTATTCCCAGAGAACGAATGCAGATCTGAGTGGTCTGTCACAGCCTGCTACAGTGGGAAATCTGGCTTGGATACATACAACATCTCTTTTCCAGAAAGTCAATTGCCATAATAGGGTTTCTTTTGATAGGAACTAGAAAATAGATGCTCCAGGCATGATAACATTTTTTTTTTTTTTTTTGAAAACCCTTAACAAAACATGGGTTTGGGTAGCCAAGGAGTCCCATAATAAGGTTCTAGGAAGCACTGTACACACTATGTTTTCTATATGTCAGCCTAATAGGAGGTGATGAAAAGTTTCCCAGAATGCTGGTTATTGTAAGAAAGGAGGTTGGGAGGAAACCATAATGTAATAAATAGCTTATTTTTGTATAAAGTAAAACGTACCAGGAAAATATCCAGAAAGGGAAAATAAAATTACAAAGAGGAGGTAGAAAATAGGATAAGTAAGAGGCCACAAAGACTAGCTTGTATGAACCCAGCCCTTCCTCTGTCAACAATTATAAAGGCTGGATTAAACACAGAAACAAACCATTTGAAGGCTTCCACAAGCAAGGCACCCAGGACGTGGGTACTAAAGATCCCAAATAGAATGTAAGTGCACTAAGGTGAGTTCCTCCTTTATCACCACTTTCCCCTCAGCATTTTTCTGAGTGGCAGCACAAGGAGTGGGGTCTTATGTTAGTTTCACTGGGCTGGAGAGACATATTTGTGATAAGGTCAGCTGAGGTTTCTGGGACTTGAGAGGCCACTTTCCCCAGTGGATGAGACTATAGAAACATGAACCTGAAATTCTATGTGCAGTTTCCCCTAGCACCTTAACCTGACTGTGGATAGAGTATGACGCTAAGATAGCGAACAGAAAGTGCCAGCTCTGGTGAAGAAGAGCAAAGCAGAGATGTGGACAGTATGACAGTACTAGGAGACATAGTCCATAGTCGAAGTCCCTCAAGCTGGAATGGTCCCTGAAAATACAGTAGGTTTTCAACTGAATCCCCAAAAGGGCTCTAACCCAGGAGTAAGGGCTTCACCCTGGAAATAAGGGAAAATTGAAAATCGATGCCAAAGGCCCATCATCTACCCTAACAGCCAATGAGAAGAAAATTAAATCCTCTAAAGAGTATGATAATATCATCTAGAGTTGCCACAATTTTTCAGACCTACTAAGATAAGAATGACATTTAAGAAAGTCGAATTTGCGGATCTTGGCTGTAATTCTGTGTGGGTGGGGACACAGTTGAAGGACCCTGTCAACTAGGAGAGATTCCAGTTTACGGTGTTGATTTATTGTGCCTACCCCTGACTTTTTCTTCTGGCCATAGTCCAGAGGTCCATTTAATTGCTGAAATGTGCATGTGAATTTGGGAGATGCTTCCAGAAACTCTCTCTAAATGGTGCCATAATGCTCAGCCCTTGATAGGGCTGCCCAGCTCCATTTCACGAGGAGCCAGTTAAGTTCCCCTCTACAAATACAAAGAATGTCCAATCTGTGTTAAGCATTTTATGAAACAAAATGGGAATTTAGAAAAACCAATGGGAAACAAGACAGTGAAAAACCTGACGAATGACACTTCACCTTAAAGGAAGTACCTTCTTTCCATCTTGGGCTTCTGCTCTCTGCTCTTGGGTTATGGAATTCCTCCAAGAGAAAAAGGACCTTAGGACCTGAGCTGCAGCGATCAATAGGATACATAATAACAACATTCTAACAGCTGCATTTCCCCCATTTCTCATTACTTCCTTGTTTGGTTGGCTGGTTTGAATGTGTTATCTGAACAAGCAAAACCTAAGGTCTTTAGGGACTGGCCCAAAAGCTGGGACTGAGGCCAGAGGTCTTTTTTCGAAAATGAACATAAACTTGTACAAGCTAGCACTTTACTTCCTGTGTGATTCATTAAATCAGGATATGCTTTCAAAAGAATAAAAATAAGGAAGAGATTTTCACATGGAAAGGAAAATAAGTTGTTTCTTTGTGCTAAAAATGAGATAACAAAAATCCTTATTCTAAGGATATTTTTTGGAGCCACATATTTAATTGTCATAGAGACTGACTGACCCCCATCCCCCTTCCCCAGGACCTACAAATGGCCTCCCCTCACTTACTCACCATCCAGAGGAAACCATGCCAGGAACTTGAATCAGGATTTGACCCTGACTTGAACCAGAGTCAAACCATCCCAGTTAATAACAGTATATATTTGGCCCTTCTAGAGAAAAAAACAGCTGACCTCCACACCGAAAGATGCCGGCCCCACCCAAAAATTCTATCATGATGTCACTGGTGAGCAATAAGTATACTAGCTTCCAGACAACTGATCTGAGATCCAGTAATATATTTCCCCTTATAACAAATATGCATCGAGTACCTCTTACCTAGGAAACATGCCAAATGACTTACATGTAAATCATCGAATCCTCTAAATAACCCTCTAAATAACACCTGCAGATGGTGAAGTCAAAGCAGAGATTTGCCCAAGGTCACACAGGTGGGATGTGGCCTAGCAGGATTAGAACTCAGGTCAGCTGATACCCAAGCCCAGGCTTTCAAACCCCCTCTCTAGCCTCCATGAGAAGCAAACTACCATCTCGAGCTCCTTCCCCAGTTCTACAGTCAGCTAACTCAGTGTAGCTGTCATTCAGGAGAGAAAGCCATGCCTGATCCCAGTAGAGGGTTTTATTTTAACTCGTCTTTCTTCTTTCTTGGTTTATCTCTGGAGGAAAAGGCCCTGAACAAAATGATTTTTCTCATCTCCAAGGATAAGATTTTGTGTTCATTTTAAGAGAAAAATCTATCATAAAATATGTTTTCACCCTTTCAAATTGGCCATCTAGACCCAAGGAATTTATTGTAACTCACATCACAGTGGCACATGAAGTTTCGTTTTCATCAAAGCACCGTGTCTCAGGAATGAGTCATAGGTCAGCAATAGGGAGTATGGGGAAAATAACTTTGTTAATGTCCCACTTTCAAAATGGGCCTGTGGGGAACTTGACTGGGGAGTAGGAGTACAAGGGATGAGGGAAATACTGCCAGAAACGTTGACTCTCCAGCTGTGTAACCTGGAACTGGTGTCCTTGGCTCTGGGGTAGGTCATACTCCATCAGGAAGGCCACATGGATGACGGGTTAACACTGCAGAGATGCCAGCATGAGGAGTCCCAGGCTGCCCGGATCATCCGGAACACGACCGCTTTATTCAGCCAGTTTGTAAGGTAGGTGAGCTCCTTCCCTTTCTCTGCTCGTCAGTTTCTATTTTTGTGGCCATCCAATCCCACCAGCCACCCCCTTTTAATACTATGAATTTTCAGGAAATAAGTATGCACCAGCAAAGAGTTTTGCCAGAAAGAGCTTGGGATTGAAACTTATTTCCCAGTAGGTAAGCTTCTCCCAGCTTCACTCTTGGCCCAACAGATGCCCAAGCAGCATTGGTTATTCAGGTTGGTGTCACAAACACCCAGGGTCTTCTCATGAAAATTAAGTGGAAAGAGCTGGAGTGCTTTAAGTCCCATTTGTATTAGTGCATGAAGAGGGGAGGAGAGAGAAGTAATGGATCCACACCCTCTGTGCTATTTAGAAAGGCTTTCTACATCATTCAGAATTGTTGCTGTGGTTTGGTTCCAAGGAGATTTACATGGAAGGCTTGGGTTACCCACCTATGGCTGGGACTTAAATGGGGGAAAGTAACTTAGCCTGCTTGGATCATAATTCCTCCAGCCTCAACAGTGCTGCCCGAACAGAACTCTGTGGATTGTGTTCACCAATTACGACAAGGAATGGATCCTGTTGTAAGCAGTGCAGTGTTGCAAGCCATCCTTCTCTCACAGGAAAATCTCTAAAGCCTAGAGGGTTTCAATTGCGTGTGTGAATTTGCATGAAATGAGAAAAAATTTTTATACCTTTATTTTCCTTCCTGTTGAACCACTGTGATCCAAGGGATGTGCGTTAGTTAGGACACAGGCTAAGCTGCCATTGTGGTTCAGAATAAACTTTTATTTCTTTTTCAAGTAATAGTATAGGGGAGGCAAGTGGTTTGGGGAAAACAGACCATATGCCGCTACTGGGGCTCAGTTTTCTTCTTTGAGATCTCCTACAGGTTCTTAAAGTATGTCCCTGGACCAGCCCAGCAGCATCACCTGGGAACTTGTTAAAAATACAAATTCTTGGGTTTTACCCCCGACAGACCTACTGAATCAGACACCTAAGAGTGGTACCTCAGAAAAACTGAGTTTTAATGGGCCCTCCAGTTGCTAAAGTTTACAAACCACTGCCCTGGAGTAAAGGTCTTTTTTTTTTTTTTTTTTAACATCTTTTTTAGGGTATAATTGCTTTACAGTGGTGTTAGTTTCTGCTTTATAACAGAGTGAATCAGTCATACATATACATATGTTCCCATATCTCATGGCCAGATGTTAGATTCATCTGGGAAACTTTTAACACCCTGATGCCCAGGTGGCATCTCCAAACAATTGCATCAGAGTCTCTGGGGTGGGATCCAAACACCAGCTTTTTATTAGCACTCCCCAGAAGATTCTTATATTCAGCCACAGTTGAGAACCAACTGTGCTGGTATGTATTCTTCATCCATGTGATTAAAAATAGCTTACTAGGGCTTCCCTGTGGTGCAGTGGTTGAGAATCTGCCTGCCAGTGCAGCGGACACGGGTTCGAGCCCTGGTCTGGGAAGATCCCACATGCCGCGGAGCAACTGGGCCCGTGAGCCACAGTTACTGAGCCTGCGCGTCTGGAGCCTGTGCTCCGCAACAAGAGAGGCCGCGATATTGAGAGGCCCGCGCCCCGCGATGAAGAGTGGCCCCCGCTCGCCACAGCTAGAGAAAGCCCTCGCACAGAAACGAGGACCCAGCACAGCCATAAATAAATTAACTAAAAAATAGCTTACTAATACCATGTCTGAGGTCCATCCTGAAAAGATGGGAAGACGGAGGAAGTAGAGTGCAAGCCATTTCTTTTTTAAAAAAATATAACCCAGAATTAGATCACCTTATCTTGCATTCTCTTGGCTAACAGTAGTAACATGGCCACATCTAGCTGAAGGAAGGCTGAGAAATATCACCTCTGGTTGGTTGGCTATGTACAACTCAGGGGTCCTGATACTAAATTGAAGGCAAGTAGACAATAGGGGTATTCCTGCTACAGGATGGGACTGAGACCTGCAAGTCAATGATCTTTTGTCTGCTTTTGGCTCTGCCACTGGTATTCTGTGAACCTTGAGCAAAATATTTCCTCCTTTTTATTCTGCATTACATCCAGACTGTTCTCCTTCTTAAAAGAAAGAGCCTAAGAACGAATTGGCTTGGTATGGGCAGAAAAAATTAGCAACACGTACACATGAAATTTTCATATAGTCTGGGCTATGACCACAACCATCGCCATAGGGAGTGGATGGTTTTATTAATGGGGCCCTCAATTCTCTCAGCCTCTGTCCTTACATCTTTCTTAAGTCAGGGGCCCCTACCTCACACATATACAAAAATTAATTCAAAATGCATTAAAGACCTAATTGTAAGACCTTAAACTATAAAACCTGGAGAAGAAAACATAGGCTCAAATCAGCATGACCTTGAATTAGGCAATGGTTTCTTCAATATGGTACCGAAAACAAAACCTACAGAAGAAAATGTAGATAGATTGGACTGTATCAGAATTAAAAGCTTTTTCGCTGTGAAGGGCACCATTAAGAAAGTGAAAAAACAACCCATGATATGGCAGAGAATATCTGTGAATCATAGATCTGATAAGGGATTTGTATCTGGAATAAAGAACACTCACAACTCAGCATTAAGAAGACAAATGGAACCAATTTAAAAATGGGTGAAGGATCTAAATAGACATTTCTCCAAAGAAGATATATAAATGGCCAATAAGCACATGAAAAGATGTTCAATACCATCAGCTATCAGAAAAATGCAAATCAGAACCACAGTGATATAACACTTTATTCGCACTAGGATGGCTATAATCAAAAAGACTGTCAATTAGAAGTGTGGGATAGGATGTGGAGAAATTGGAACCTTCATACACTGCTGGTGGGAATGTAAAATGTCGCAGCCACTTTGGAATACAGTCCGGGAATTCCTCAAAACGTTAAGCATAGAGTTACTGTATGACTCAACAATTTCATTCCTGGGTATACACACCCAAGAGATGTGAAACATACGCACACACAAAAACTTGTATACAAATGTTCAAAGCAGCATTACTCATAATAGCCCAAAAGTGGAAACAACCTAAACATCTATCAGGTGATGAATGCATAAATAAAAGGTGCTATGTCCATACAATGGAATATTATATGTCCGTAAAAAGGAATGAAGTACTGATATACACTACAACATAAATGAACCTTAAAAACATTATGCTCAGTGAAAGAAGCCAGTCGCAAAAGAACACATACTGTATTATTGCATTTATATGAAATGTCCAGAAGAGGCAAATCTGTAGAGACAGAAAATAGATCTGTGGTTGCCTAGGGCTGGGGTGGCAGCAGGTGAAAAGAGGAGTGACTACTAATAGGTGTGGGATTTGGGGGAAAGCTGAGGAAAAATTCTAAAGTTGATTTAGGTGATTGTTGCACAACTCTGTAAATACACTAAAAACTATTAAACCATTAAATTGTACCCTTTAAATAGATGACCGTATGATATGTGAATCATATTTCAGTAAAGCTGTTATTTTTAAAAATTCAGTGCAAGTTACATGCCAAACAATCAGAAAATTATTTTTAAACAACTTTATTGGGTTATAATTTACATATCATAAAATTCCTCCTTTTAAATGTACAGCTCAGTGAATTTTAATAAATTTACGAGCCGTATAGCCATTGCCACAATTCAGTTTTAGAACATTTTCATCACCCCAAAAGGATTCTTATGCCCGTTGCAATTTATACTAGTTGCCACCCCCAGCCTTAGGCAACCAATCATCTATTTCTATCACATTTTAATGCATTAAATTGATAAATCACACAATATATGATCTTTTGAATCTGGCCTTTTCATTTGGCATTACATTTTTGAGGTTCATCCCTGCTGCAGTACATAATGGTGTTCTGTTGCTTTCTATTGCTGAAGGGTATTTCTGTGTATGTGTTTTATATATATATATATATATATACATATATATATAAATCATACACACATATGTACACATAAAGGTACATATGTATGTATATACATGAACATGTGTGTGGATACATATATATATATATAGAGAGAGAGAGAGAGAGATACATACAGGTATACTCATGTCACATGCTAAAACATGTATATGATAATACAACACTGTCTTCCTTAATGTAGCTTTATAGTAAGTATTAAAATCAGGTAGAGTGAGTACTCCTACAATTTTGTACTTTTCCTCAAAATTATTTTGTCTCTTCTAGGTCCTTTGCATTCCCATATAAATTTTAGGGTGAATTTGTCAATTTCTGTAAGAAAGTCTTACAGTAACAAAACAGGCCCCACCCCAGAATCAAATTTCTCTTCTCTAAGGCAGTGCTTCTCTAACTTCAGTGTGCATATGTATCACCTGGGAATCCTGTAAGAGTGTGGATTTCAACTGAGTGGGTCTGGAGTGAGACCTGATACTCTGCATACCAGTTTCCACATCACACTTTGAGTAGAAAGACTCTAGAGTAAGGTGATAGATAGATATTGATAAGGTGATTGATAGATATTGCATTGGATCTATAGATCAGTTTCAGGAAATTTTTATCTTAATAATGTATCTTTCAATCCATAAACATAGAATGTCCGTCCATTTATTTATTCTTCTTGGATTCCTTTCGGCAAGATATTACAGCTTTCAGTGTGTAAATCTTTCACTTCTTTTGTAAAATTTATTCCAAAGTATTTATTTTTGACGCAACTACAAATGGAAATGTTTTCTTAATTTCATTTCAGATTGTCCACTGCTGGTGTCTATAAATACTGATGTAGGGATTAATCGTGTATCCCATGACTTAGATGAAATTTTTTATTCTACCGGGGGTAATTTTTGGTGTGGATTCTTGAGAATTTTCTACATACAGGATCATGTCATCTGGGAATAAAAAGTGTTTTTTTCTCCTTTCCAATAAGAATGCCCTTTATTCCTATTTCTATTTTATTTTATTTTGCATGATTGCACTGGATGGAACATCCACTGCAATGTGGAATAAAGCAGAGAGAACAGACATCCTTGTCTTGTTCCCGAACTAGTGGGAAAACATTTGGTCTTTGACCATTAAGTATGATGTTAACTACAGGGTTTTTGTAGATGCCCTTTATCAGTTTGAGGAAGTTCTCTTCTCTTCCTAGTTTGCTAAGAGCTTTTTATCTTGAATGAGTGTTAGATTTTGTCAAATTCTTTTTGTCTATTGAGATAATGATGTGGTTTCATCCTTTATTTATATAGCTTATTACATTACCTGCTTGAAAAGGTAATTGAAGTCTATTATTGTTGAATTGTCTATTTCTCCCTCAATTCTGTCAATTTTTGCTTCACATATTTTGGTCTCTGTTGTTGGGTGCTTTATGTTTATAATAGGTATATCTTCCCCCCAAATTGACCCTTATAATTATAAAACGTCTCCCTTTGTTTTTTTTTCAGTTTTCCCCACGTGTTTCTTTTCTTTGAAATTGAAGTCTAGTCGATTTACAATATTATATTAGTTTCAGGTGAACAGCAAAGTGATTCAGTATTTTTGCAGATTACGCTTCATTGTAAGTTATCACAAGATAATGGCTGTATTTCCCTGTGCTATACAGTATATCCTTCTTGCTTAGGTATTTTATACATAATAGTTTGTCTGTTAATCCCATACCCCTATTTTGTTCCTCCCCACTTCCCTCTCCCCTTGGTTAACCACAAGTTTGTTTTCTGTATCTGTGAGTCTGTTTTGCATATACATTCATTTGTATTATCTTTTAGATTCCATATATAAGTGATATCATACAATATTTGTCTTTCTCTCTCTGACTTGTTTCACTCAGCATAATATTCTCAAGGTCCATCCACATTGGTGTAAATGGCAGAAGTTCATTCTTTTTTGTGCCTGAGTCGCTGGGCTTTCCAACCCTCTGTGTAGCAATGTGCTGCCCCATCAAGCTACAGAAATGCCTACAAACCTCTTCTTTCATCCTCATTTCTTGTCACATGAAGAAACAAACACACTTTTCTCTTAACTGACATGAGTATCTCTAGTAAATGCAAAATATTTCAAAAGAAAAAAAAAAGAGAGAGGGAGAGAGAAAAACAAACTCTGCAACTAGACCAGAAATATTGAGGAAAATGAATTCATTCTTCACTGAATCTAGAACTGGGGAGTCATTTCTGATTGGGTTTTTGTTCCCGAACCTTCACCTCATATCCACATGGGATTATCTTCCTCACTGTCTCTGTGTCCAATAATGTCCCAGAGAGTCATTCATAACCACTTCCTGAGCACCTGCCATGGGCCAGAGGACACGCTGCAGAGAAACACCTCCTGCCTGTGATTCACTCTTCTCTCATGTGCACTTGGCATTTTTATACAAAAATGGAATTATCGTTAACGTCATAACCTGAGTGTTTTCAGGGCTTGTTCGTAAGCCTTTGCTTTAGGCCTAGATCACGATCTTTTCTTAGCATGTGTCCAGACTGATATATAAGCAAATCTGCTGTAAATGAAAGGACAGCTCATTAGAAATCGACCACCAAGGAAAAACCCTGATGTTATTTACACATGGAATCAGTTCCCATTCTGCTGGGGCCACAGATGCAGTTCCACAGGGGCTGGGTCCATTTCCCCCTTCCTCTTCTTAGCCTTGGCCTCTGAAAGGCTCACTGGTGTCCCCCTCTCAAGGAGATGGGAAAATGAAGGGTCATTTTGTCATCTGTGGAGGTGTGTGGTCTCTCTGTGTTGAAAGGATTTAATGATAAGATTTGTTTGGAAAATTATGACAGAGGGAGTCAGATGGACACACATACAGGACGGGAGGAACACAACAGAGAAAGTGAGGGAGATGATGGGGATGTTGAGGCAGAGAGGAAGGATGTTGAGAGATGGGACGCTAGGGGAGAGGCAGATAAACAGAGGAAGGGCACACAGAGGAAGGAGAGAGAGACAGATACAGAGAGCAAGGGAGACATCAACAAATGGGGTGGGGAAGCACACACACAGAACACATGGGGTGCCTGCACACATACAAACATGAAGAGAAAAACACACGCAGAGGTATCACAAAGATGCATGGAGAGAGACAGAAGACAGAGATGTAGATGGGGGAAGAGACCTACTGATGAAACCCCTTCCAGCCGATGCTTAACCTATTCCAAGAACGTGTGATAGTCTAAAAGAGCTATGGGGTAATAAGTTTATTATTTATAAACGTGTTTCCACTTCAAAAGGAAAAATGGTGGCAGACGGCCAAGGGTCATTTCCCTTGATTTATGAAATGGCTTTAACATTGAATCAGAAGTCCTCTCCCTTCGCTCTGTTTGTCGGCAAACCACAATTTGTGGTCATCTGTACAGCGACTAGCCCAGGCAGCAGTCCGTGTGCCCAGCGTGGGGCAGGGAGGAGCCAGGACCTAGTGGACACTTGTCAGAGCCCTGCTGGGGACCCACTGCCTGAGCCGTGTCCATATCTGTGGTTTTAGTGGAAACAGCCGCACAGCAGCCCCTGTCACCCTGCCGATAGAAGGGGTCCTGCAGACCTTACACGACTTGATCACCTACTTCCAGCCCCCGGAGGAGGAGATGCAGCATGAGGACAGGCAGAGCAAGCTCCGCTCACTCAAAAACAGGCAGAATCTTTTCAAGGAAGAGGTAAGTCCAAAACGTTAGAAATTGAGATTCTCTTTGTGTCCAGAGCTAAAGTACCCCCAATGATTACAATTTAGCTTTGTCTCCATGCATGCACGTGTTTAAGAAAGAGACAGAGAACAAGAGAGAGAGGAAGCTGGAAAGAACAGGATTCACTGGAAGCCGCCCTTCCCTGTGGGCACCCCTGATCACATTAGCAGCGAACATTGTCGTGCTTGTATGTCGGCACGTTCAAACCAGATTAATTTAAAGCCTCAGTGTCACCTATGTAGCCAAAATTCATCTTCCATAAATCTCAGCTATGAGAGTATGGCATTGGCTGTGATCACCACATTTTGGAAGGTGTCAGAATTACCCTGGAAACTTGTTGGAAAAATACAGATGCCGAGGTTCCACCACATCAGAAATGCCTGAGGAGCTGGTTTGAGAGATACAGATGCTACTATGCCTCAAGTTGAACTTGAGCCTCTGAGTCACTTGGGATGGGGCCTGGATATAGGGGAGATACTAACTTGGGGCTCTAGGGACCCTGGCCCCAGTTCTGGCTCCATCCCTGGCTGTGTGTGTCCTTAGACAAGTCACATGCCTTTTCTGAACTTGGACGTGATGATTTGGCACTAATTTGAAGGCCATGGTCATATTCCTGCAGCCCCCCATTCCTGGGGACAGGACTCGTGCCTTGGGTATCTCCAAAGTTGATGGCATGGGAAGTAGACCCCGTCCCTACCCAGCTTTCTGATGTGAGCAGACTTTGGCTGGGGGAACATTCTGTGTGCCTTATAGGTCTGCTGAAACTACACTTAACACCTCCCTCCTGCTCTTTAAGAACAGCTGGGCACCGATATTTTTACTGGGTGGCATAGTATTGTAAATTAGCTGAAAAGTAGTTTAAAATCCTCTTTTAGTCTTATTGTCTGTAAATTCCACCTCTTTTCAAGGGGATGGGGAGATGTCTTGTGCATCTAAGAGAAAAATAGGTCCGATATCCAGGGCTGTTTCTGGGTGGGTCAGAATCATTTCACACCTGACACAGGGCAGGCTTCTGTGAGACTCATTCATGCTCCCCCTTCCTCAGTATGTCCTTGGATTGAGTTAAACCCGTGGGGAGCAAACTCGTCAGAGGAGACTGCTGACACTCCCCAACTGGATGCTATTTAGGTCTCTGAGGCATAAAAATGCATGTTTTGTTTTGGGGAGGAAAAAACAACATCCAAACTGGCACCATGAAGGTCTTTTTGCATATTAGCATTATCAGCTTTAAAAGGTGAATGATATTGGAGAGGAAAGAACAAAAGGGATCCCATGATCTTAATCAAGTACTTTTTCTTTTTGCCCAACTCACCTTCACAGGGAATGTTGGCTCTTGTGTTAAACTGCATTGATCGCTTAAATATCTACAATAGCATAGCACACTTCACAGGGATTGCCAGGGAAGAGAGTGGGATGGCCTGGAAAGAAATTCTGAACCTCCTCTATAAATTGCTGGGTAAGTACATACCCAGAGCCCCCTCCCTGGGAAGGTGGCCAAGGGTGGTCTGTAGGTATTTCCATGGGACGAGCTAGGACTGTCATCCAGCCCCATTCTTTTGGAAGCTTTTGTTAAATCATCTGATTCTAAGCCAGCCATTCATTCTGTTAACTGGTAGCGTATCGTATTTTCCAAACTGACAGCAAGATGTCAGCAAGTAGAAGCAAATAGTGATCAGTTTTGCCAAAACTACCTGTGAAACCCTTAACAGTCACACTCCCCGAACCTCAATTCTTCATCTTTAAAATGAGGGAGCAAGACAAAAATACGTTTCAGGTACCCTCCAGTTCTAGACCTTTGGCACCTGCAGTTTGAGGATGTTTACCCTCTTCAACTGTGTGCCCTTTCACTGTCCACCTGTTGAGCCGTCATGATTCCTGCT